TACTCAGGACAGTTTGAGGATGGCTGGTCTTACCTCCAGACCCCGATCCCAGTGGACCAAATCCTCCTGGGAGATTGTCCTCACCCAATAATTATGAACCACCTCTGCCCAGGATGGGAGCCCAGAAAAAATACACCTGGGTGCTGAGCAGAGCTGGGTGTTGGTTTACAGAAGGAAAGAAAGAGCAGCTCAACTGACCTCCACCACACCCTGGGCCCCTACCTGAAGGCCTGGGGAGGGCAGGTGGCTCACACAGTGTAACTCAGCCTCCAGCTCTTGCCCCCAAGCTCAGTCCTCTCCTTAGCACCAGTTCTTGCCACTCGGCCTACAAACAGGCTCAGATGAACCCCTCGAGGCTTCTTAAATGCCCTTTCACCAGGCCTGTGCAGCTGAGCTTCCGAAAAGGCCGTCTGCCCCAGCTCCTCCTCCCAGCAGTGTTTCCTGAGGGCCTCCAATCCTCTGTCTCAGTAGGGCTTGGACACACCTGCCCCCAATGTTTCCTCCCAACTTTTTCCTCAATCTGAGTCTCAATTTCCCCTTCTGTAAAATGAGGATGGTCATTGCCACTCCCTGGGCTCAGGGGAGCTGTGTGGGCTCTGGGGAGCAGAGGCTGGTGTGGATCAGACAGTGATGGTGGGGATCTTTGTGTAGGAAGGGGGCCATTAGGGGAATTCCAAAGGACACCACATTCTGAAGTGTAGATTGGCTGTTCCTCTCAAAGAGGACACAGAAGCTACGGAGCCTCCCTCAACTACCCATCTCTCACCGTCCATGAACTCACTGTGTACCCAATAAGGAACAGGAGGACCTCAAGGGCAGGTGATGTTGGCATCTTGACTAGCAGGCACCATTACCTCTGTTTTACAAAAATGGAAACTGTGATTTGGGGGTCACCACCTTGTACAAGGTCACTGGCTAGAGAGGGCAAGAGGGGAGGGCCCTGGGGAAGAGGTTTCAGAAGTCTCAATGGCACAAAGTGCTGTGTGACTCCACAAACTTGCGTGGAAAGGGCTGGCTGTAAAAATCAAACCCAGAATGGACAGTGAGAAAAGCCGCAGGAGGTATCCAGGGTCGAGTGCTCATCAGAGACGAGTCAGTGCCTTTTGTCAAGGCTGAAGTTTCCCATAACAATCTCCTATCTTTTATTTTTATTGTTTTAGTTATAGATAGATGCAATATTTTAATTTTGCTTATTTATTTTTATGCGGTGCTGAGAATCGAATCCAGTGCGTCGCATGTGCACTTGTGCAAGGCAAGCGCTCTGCCACCGAGCCACAGCCCCAATCTCCATCTTTATGATCAGAGTGAAAATCCTGACTAGAGCAAGGTGGTGCCGGGAACAGCATGGCCACATGCTCCCCAAGGCCTGAGCACCTGTGGCGAGAGGTGCAGCTTGAGCCCCCACCGGGTGAGGTTTGAGAGGGAACTGTGACACCAGCCGGGTATTCAGGAACCAGAGGTGCTGCCTCTATGGCCAAATTACCAAACATGCCCGGGGTTGTGGAGGGGGGCGGTGCAGAGAAATGAGAGCTGAGGGGCAAGAGGAGAGGGGAGACTGGCAGAGGAGGCAGGGCCAAGGCTGTGGGGAGTTGTCTTGGTCCCCCCAGGGCAGCAGAACACTCCACAGGCTGGTGGCTCCTGAACAACAGAAACCTAATTCTCAGGGTTCTGGAGGCGGGGAGCCCAGGATCAAGGTGCCAGCAGACTCGGATCTGCCGAAGGTCCATGTTCTCACATATAGCATCTCCTCACTGTGTCCTCGTGTGGGAGAAAGGTGAGGGAGCTCTCTGGAGTCCCTTTTACATGGCACTAGTCCCATCTATGAAGGTGTCATTTGTGATCCAATCAGCTTCCAAGGCCCTGCCTTCTGACACTAACACACTGGGGCTGGGGGCCACACGGGATAGGAGGTGTCAAGATAAAAGTGGAGGCACTGCATCAACCCTAAAAAATAAATAAATAAAACCGGGAGTCCTGAAGGAGGGGCTGTCACACAACATCCAAAAGAGGGAATCAGCCGGGCACACAGACACCTCTGCACCGGGGCCTCCCTACAGCTGCTCTTCAGGCGGGACTGGCACCACCTGCTCACTGCTCCTCTAGCCCAGGACTGCCATTTCAAAACTCCCCTGCCTCCTCCTCCCTCGAACAAACGTGATTTCTATAGCCCATGGGCTCCACTGCAGGATTCTGCCACTCCCTAAGGAGGCCTCTCTCTATCCAGCCAGCCATCTAGCTATATATTTTTAACCTCGGATTGAACCCAGGGCACTTAACACTGAGCCCTACCCCCAGCCTTTTTGTATTTTATTTTGCAGACTTGCTTGGGGCCTCGCTAAGTTGCTGAGGCTGGTTTTGAACTCATGATCCTCTTGCCTCAGCCTCCTGAGCCACTGGGATATAGGCATGTGCCACCGTGCCTGGCAACAAATCTGTATTCTATGGAGAAAGTCCATGCTTGCTATTTAGGGTGACACAGACATTCAGATGGTGGCAAGGTGGGAACAACTGTGGGGGAGGCCATGCAGACAGAGCCAAGATTAGCTGAGATTTGTACTTTGCCAATATGTCCAGTCCACCATGCAGAGACTGGCAGGTGCCTTGAGAGCACTTGGGAATCACGTCCCACTGTCCCAAGCTCCATGTGTGGGCTGCAACAACAGGTTCATCCAGGGACTGGGGTTGTGGCTTAGTGGTAGCATGCTTGCCTGGCTTGCGTGAGGTGCTGGGTTTGATTCTCGGCACCATCAACAACTTTAAAAAATATTTTAAAAAACCACTGGGTTTATCCCACAGCAGGATTACCCGCTATGTAAAGCATGCAATTGTTTACTTCATAATGAGGCATCTTCACAGGATGAAGTACCTGCCCCATGGAATGTTCTGGAATACCATGACAGGGAAAAGCCTTCAAGGGAAACTTCATAATTTCTTTCTTTTATGGCCCTGAGAATTGCATGACTGTTCCACCATGGGCTACATCCCCTATCTATTTTGAGTCGGAGGTCTCACTAAGTTGCTGAGGCTGACCTTGAACTTGTGATTCTTTTGCCTCAGTCTCCCAAATTGCTGGAATTATAGGTGTATGCCACCATAGCTGTTGTTGTTTTTTTTTTTCGGGGGTGGAGTGTTTTTTTTTCCCCCCAGTAAGATGACCTGGAGTTCAGTGTGGTGGCACACCTACAACCTCAGCAGTTTAGGAGGTGGAGGCAGCAGGATCATGAGTTCAAAGCCAGCCTCAACAAAAGTGAGATGTTAAGCAACTCAGTGAGATGCTATCTCTAAATAAAATATTAAATAAGGCTGGGGATATGGCTCAGTCCCTGGTACACTCACCTCCAATAAAAAAAAAAAAAAAGACCTGGTATTGCTGAGACTTGGGTCTTCATCAGAGAAGATGTGCTGGCCTTATATTATTTAGAGAAAATGTCAAATATATGCAAAAGAGAGGACAGTGTGGTAAAGCCCCAATACAAATCTCTACAGAAATCAATATCTTGCCCTGCTCATCTCCCCACAATCTTAGCATTTTTAATTTTTCTAGACTCTTTCAGAAAATATCCCAGGTATATCAGTTCACTTGAAAATATTTTAGCTTGATATGTGTCTCTACTGTAAGGAAGACTTTTTTTTTAAGCATAATCACTACCATCATCATACCTAACAAAATTAACCATAATTCCTCAATATCTTCTAATGTACTTCTTTTTTATTTTTTTGGCGGTAGAAATTGAACCCAGGGTGGCCTAACCACTGAACCACATCCCCAGTACCCCCTTTAAAATTTTCTTTTTAGTTGTACATGGACACATCTTTTTATGTATTTATTTTTATGTGGTGCTGAGAATCGAACCCAGGGCCTCACATGTGGGAAGCAAGTGCTCTACCACTGAGCACCTGTCCCAGCCCCATCCCCAGCACTTTTTTAAAATTTTGAGTCAAGGTGTCTCTGAGTTGCTGAGGCTGGCCTTGATCCTCTTGCCTCAGCCTCTTGAGTTGCTGGGATTACAGGTGTGTGCCATAGCACCTGGCCCCAATCATCTGTAAAAGAAGTCTTTTTACAGATTGGTCAAACATGGAGCCACAGGCCACACACGGAGCTGGGTTCATATTAGGGCTGTCAGATGGCAAGACCAACTATGCTTCAATACAACTACGATTTTAAGAATTCCTCACAGATGCTGACATTTAATCCCACCTGTGATCAAATGACAAAGCCTACCACCAGACTAAAGGTGGACTGGCTGATGCCCATTTTCTCCACAGGAGGGAACTGAGGTCACGGAGGGAATGGCCTATACAGGGCCCTCAGCAAGGGGATCCAGCACTGGAGTAAGCCTGCCTGGTCACTGTGTAGGACTCGTCCACATGTGTCCACTGAGCTTTTAGCACTTTTAAACACTATCAAAGTCCTAGCCTGGTTTCTGCTGTGCAACAGCTGATTCTAAATCTCCTACCCAACCTCAGGGGCCACGGCTTACCCACAACGTAACTGGTGCACCTGTCTGCCCCTTTGTGATCTGTCAGCTGCAGGATGAAGTCCAGACTCCTGCAAGAGGCATCAAGGCCTCTCATGGGCTGACCCTTGCCATCTCTCTGTTCCCATCTCTCTCTCTCCTCAGCTAAGTCAAGCTAGGACTCCAAGGATGGGATTCTGAGACATGAACTGGTGACTGCGGGAATGGTGTTCCCATTTGGTTTCAGGAGTACTAATGGTGGAGTCCCCACCCTGTGGGGCAGCCTGGTGTGCCAGACATGTTGCTCCTTTCATTCATTCCTTTTAAGGTTCTGGGAATGGAGCCCAGGGCCTCCTACATTCCAAGCTCTCCCACTGAGCCAACCCCCAGCTCACATTACTCCTTTTAGTCTCGAAAGTCAAACTTTTGCAGATGAGGCCACTCAGTGGCCCCAGTGACTGACTTGCTGTAGGGCACAGGTGGAATGAGGTCATAGGTGGAGATGGCCAGACCCTTTGTGCTGCCCCATAGGCCTTCCTGGCTGGCTCCCCTAGTGCTTGAGTGGGCTTGGCCCAGGAAAGAGGAGGGAGACCCTGTTTCTTGTCATCGACAGGGACTTCATGCCACACTCAGGCTCCAGTCTCAGGGAGGTTGTGCCCAACTGGGGCTTCCACTGCTTCCTTTGATCTGCGGCTGCCCCATGGAGGGTCAGATACTGACCATGAGGAAATACATGTCCACAATTGGTCTGCAGAGACATGAGGTGGAAACAGACCCTCACATGTCTCCTGAAGATGAACGGTGCAACTCCTCGCACAGGAAGGCAGGCACACCCTCTTGGATATGTAAAGTTGCTTACAATGCCCCACCCCTCCCATATCCTCCCCAGAGACGCCCCATGGTCTTTGCCACCCAGCTGGTCAGGGCAGAGCTGGGGCCAGCAGGCTTCACTGTGTACAACCAGCCAGCTGACTTCACAAGGTCCCTGCAGGGCTGCCAGGCAGGCCAGAAAGAGCCAAGGAAGGAAGACGGCTACAGAAGCTGGGAGGGGCCGCCACTTGTTTCTCAAACTCCTGCAGACCTGAGGGCTGTGCCCAGGCAGCCTAGAGAGACTGTGGTTTACTAAGGAGATTAAAGAGAAGCCATGCTGCCTTCATTACCATAGAACCAGGTGGAAGGAGCTTTCTTGGTCCAGAAGAATGAAAGTCACTACTGATCCCAGGGCTGGGGCCTAGCACAGGATAGGTCCTAGTTTCATGAACTGAAATTGCCAGACCCTATTTGCAGTGGTGACTCCGATTTACTCTCCCACGCCCAGCTTCATTCTTTTCTCATTTTTATTGCCACCTCAGACCCCAGTTCACATCAAACACATCAGCAGTCTACCAGATGCTTCAACTGGAACATCATCGTGGCTGCCAGCCACTTGCCTCTACCCTGCTCCTGGGCCCCGAGCACGAGCCCACCCAGTCAGGAACTTGCTGCCCTTGCTAATGCCAAAAAAAAGCCACTCCATTCTTCAAATGGGGGGCATAAAACCGCAGCCTGCCTTTTTAATATTACTGGAAGTCAACATCTGTAGCACACCTGATGGGTGCACAGTTGGATTGGGGGCTTCTCCTCTGATGTCCAAATGAGGACTTATACATACCCAGGTGGGAGGAGTGTCAGGCAGCCTGGGGCACATCCTCTCTCTCTCCACAAACACTGGGCATTCCATGCCAGGCCTGATGCCACACCCTCCTGGGACACCTCCGAGAATTCTCCCTTCTCCCTCCATGGGGAGCGACCCAACTCTCACAGGTGGGGAGCCCAAGGCCCAGGAGGCTTCTCTTTCCTCACTGTTAGCAGCTTAATGTTAAAATGAAGACAACCTCGACCCCCCAACAACTCCAACCTGCTGTCCCCGTTTCCACTTGATGCCTGTGAAAGGTCAAGGCAAAGAAGGGCAGTAGGAAAACTAGGCTTTCTGCCCAGCAGCCCTGTCCAGACAGCCTGCCATCTGTCCACATGGGATGCCACCCAGCCCTGGCAAGAAGTAGGACCTGTTTGCAACAGAGGGACCTCCCTGGGCCCGCATCCCTCCAGGTCCTCCCCAGCCTGGGAAGAGGAGGTAGAAGGTAAGTGAGCCTGGGGAAGCAGGGGAGGAGGAACACACAGAGCCCCTGAGATTTCCACCTGATCTCCGTGGCGGAAAGGAGGCCAGGCTCACTTTGGGCAGCAGGGCTGCCACGCAAGCTTAGGCTACCAGAGGTGGGACACCAAGATCAGCTCAGGCATGAGTGACCTCACAGTGCAGTGCTGCTGCCAAGATCTAGGGTCTGTCACAAAAGACTTTGTCACCCAGGCAGGGTCCTGACCTTTCTGCGCAACCTCCCCATCTGTGGCCTGGGGAGAGAGCGGCACACAGCACCAGAGCATCAGGCAGCCTCCAGGGGTGGGGGAGGAGTGCTGCTCCAGTTATCCTGGGTCTGCAGGGCAGTTTGTGGGAGGACATGGTGGTTATGTCTGACATTCTGACCACCAGAAACTGGATCCTGAGAAAAGCCACAGAGGGTACCCTCAGGCCCCTGACAAGAGGCCAGCCACTCATTGCTTAGGGGCAGAGCCCAAAGACGTGTGAGAACCAGTGAGGCCCCACTGAGCGCAGGACGTCCTTGGCTTGAGTCTAGGTTTGACAGAGGACCCAGGTCCTCACAGGACTATCCTTTCTTCAGTAAGGGAGGACACTCCTGGCTCTGGCATGAAGCTGGCCAGCACTGGGCATCTTATGCTGTCTTGCTCAGGTTCCCAGTCTGTGGCCCCAAGGACAGGCCTGTGTCCAGGCAGATCCATAGCAGCGTTCTTAGCTCCACAGCTGGTTCAATCCCCTTACCAGATGTGGGGGTCACTGTGGGGACCTTCACTTGGGGCTCTGATGAATCCATAGCAGCCTCCAGCTCACCACCACTGGTGAGTGATCTGGGCCAGTCCCTTGGACTCCCGGCCACAGCGATGGGTCCCCTAGGTGTGCCGGGGAGGACCCAACATGGTGCACATGCAGGTGGGTCAGTGAGCAGGCTGGAGAACACAGGAGCTCCCAGAGTCCAGTGCTGTCCTGTGTCCCCTGCCCCAGGTCTCGGGCACCAGGCCTTCCCAGGCCCTGGGATAGAGGCCCAGCTGGTGGAGAGGGCCCTTCCCATGGTGCCTTCCCAGGTGGCAACGAAGGGGAAGATCAGCCCCTACACACATTGACCCAGGATCCTGGCCTTGGTCTACTCTTGAGGACCAGCATACAGAAGGCCCTCAGCTTTGATAGTGGCCTCATCTAAGCCTTGAGACTATCTAAAAGGGGACCCTATCCCCATCTGTAACAGGGCCTAAGGGTGACAGGCCAAAGGGTGGGGCCTATTCTGTCCCCCTCCAACAGGCCTCTCCGACTCCTGGGGCCCCCAGTGGTCCCTGGGTGTACTGTGAGGAGCAAGACCGCATCATTGTCTCCCTGACAGGGATGGTGGTCTGCAGGCCCTTGGCTCAGCTCTGATGGACACTTGGTTCTGTTGTTGCTCTTGGTCCCCGCCTTCGTGACTCCCATGGGATCCAGGGACTGCAGAAGCTGGTTTGCCATCTCAAAAGACTGATGTGACTTCCCTTCAAGGTGAGAGGGTGACATGACTGTGGTCAATACCCAGACAGCACAGTGGTCCATGGCCTCTGTGGGGCCTGGAGCCACAGGCCAGGCAAGTGCCCTCCGAGGGTGCTGCTGACTAGTGGAGGGAGGATGGGAGGTGCAACCTGAGCAGGCGTGACTTTCTTGAATTACTGGACTCATGGGGCGAACTTCCCTTTTGCACGTCCACCTTAGTTGGATTCCTGCCAAGGACAGCAAACCCAGGGAAGGCAGAGGCCGGACAGCCTAGCAGACAGGGCTGTATCTTGTTCACCTCTGCGTTCCAGCAATCTGTGGACTGTCTTGTCCCTGTGACCAACCCTGATGAGAGGTCCCATTATGACACCCACTTACACCTGAGAGAAAAACTCACTTGAGGGTATACAGTGGTGGGGGTGAGTGGGGGTGGAGGAGGGCCCTGGGACATGACATCCTGCCAACAGGGGGCAAGTACCCAACACCGGGGTTAGAGAAAGGCTCTTGGGCGGAAGCAGAGGGCCCATGCCTCCCAACACACTGTTCATAATTAATGGGATCTTGGTGAAACAAAAAGTGTGGTTTTAGAGTATCAAATGGAGTCTAGAATCTCAGGGCCCAACAGCTCGTGGTGCCTCAGTTTACCCACCTGTGCAGGGGCAACTCTACCTGTCTCACAGGGTTGGCCAACACCACAGAGGGCATGGAAGACTCCGGGCACTCAGGGGCCCCCAGCTCACATCAGCTGATGCTGTGAGCACCATCTGATGTTAGGCGGAGGTGACATTACTGTCATTGCTAGCCTGACAATGTGAAGCAACTGTCCCTGGAAATGCTGTAATCACCACACCAGTGGCTACGGCTGCAGAGGCTCTGAGGCAACAGTGCCAGGCTGAGAGGTCACCTGACCAGCTGCCTGGAAGAGAAGCTGGGGGCTGGGCTTCCTCTCTGTTCTCCTGGGCACTGCCATGGCCACTCACTGCATGTGCCTTGAAACCATGGTGACAGCAGTGTCAGCTGCAACAGCAGTGGCCTGAGTTCCTTGGGTGATAGAGGTAAAGAAAGGCCTTTCCTAATTCTATAGTTCTGTGATATCAGAATTCCTGGGGACGGGAACAGGTCAGAGCCTGGGTGATAGGCCACCTCGGCACTGGCCCTTCTCCTGCAGGCACAGGCATCTGGGAAGCACTACGTAGACACTGTGCCAGAACCCCAGCGGTAGGGGCAACAGTGCACACAGCCACTCGGGGAACCACGGCAAGCCACCAGGAAGGCACTGCTCCACCTTGGGCACACCTCCTCTGGGCAGCCCAGCATACCCGTGAGGAAGGCGGTGCAGCCTGCTCCAGCATGGCCTTGGGGGACTCCTGGGAGGGTGTCTCTGCCCCTGGTGCCCCACAAGGCACTGCTGATGTTTGATGAGGCCACTACTAGCTGCTTCACAGGCAGACACAGAAGCTGGGACCTACATGAAAGAACCTTTGAGATGATAAATAAAGACCACACACTCTTTTTAAAACTTTTTATTTGGTGTTAACTCCACAAGAAAACAAAACAAACAAAAAAATCAGTTACTCTGGTGTACGTGAAATCAGAACAATACAACCACGGGAAAAAAATCTCAGCCCAGGAATGGAAACTGGTACTTCAGTGCCATGGAGATGCAACGCGCTTCATACCACAGTGCGCTTCAGCGTTTGCCAACTTTATTTATTTTTTTAATGCTTTTTGTGATCATCCATTCACAAAACTAAAAACCACACTTTCAACTCTGTTGCTGAAAGCCTCTGAGTTTTAGTCACTTAACTATTAAAACAAATAAATACAGAATTTGTTAATCCCTTGGCCCATCTATTATCCGTCCCCATTCCCTGTGGAAGGTGCTCCACCGTCCCACGCCTGAGGAGGTGGCACTCTGCCACCTGAAGCCCTTTCCTGATGAACAGCAGCTGTCCAAAACCAACTGAGCTCAAGGTTGTGTCTGAAATCTACTTATTTGGTCTCTGCTACGTAAGCAACGATTTCTAAGATCATCGTTGCCGCAGTGATTTTAGGAATTTTACAACTTCCAATCCTTTTCTGCTGTTGTTGTTAAATTATATTTCAGTGCAGATGCTAATCAATTTTTAGGAAGCTCCAGAAAAAAGAAAAATACATAAAAACTTATCTGATGTCTGTAAATAAATAATAGCAACATAAAACCTCACACATGCACACACGCACACACAAACCCACTGTAAAGTGTCAAAAGATGTGCTGTATAAAGACAAACCCCCACGACGGCGAGATGGCACCAGAGGATCACATCAGGCCTCTCATGGTGAGGACACACGGAGCCTCGGCGACTCCACAGCCTTCCACGGTGTTTCTGTTATTGGGAAAAAGGCGATAAACTCACATGCTCAAAGCAAATCAGGTACTTCACAGGCAGCTCAGCTCCTAGCTAATCAGGTGCGTCTGCTGCCTGAAGCAAGTGGTAAAGCTGTCTCGGCCACGTCGGACATCACCGCCATTCCCGATATCACAGATGCTAAACTGACTTCACAGATTAGGTGTTTTTAAAATGATGCACTGATTAAAAGAGAAAAACAACCTAAAACGTCCAGGCTTTGCAGATAGTGCTCCTCCTGGCTTCAAACTGTTGTGTTGGGAGAGCTCGAGGAGGTGTCTGCACGCACAAGTGTGACCTGCACGAGGTGCACCGACTCTCAGACTCACCAAGGTGCTGCAAAGCAGGTCACATGAGGGGCCACATGGGCATGTGGGAAAACTACTCTACCCACCCAACCCACCGCACACACAACTCATCCAGAACCTTCTCTCCAACACAAGATGATATAAGAAGCTACATTATATCACAGCCACAAGAGCAGCTAGCTGCAGCAGCCAAAGATTTCTTTGGGGTGATAAGGTGGCCTTTATCTCATGTCAAATGTTTATAACTTCAAGTTTTGGGGGCTTTAATTTAATGTAGTCACCAGAAAATAAAATGTGCAACCAAGGTCCTCACTGTGTGCTGTCAGACTCAGCACGAAGAGCCCTGACGGCTTTCTGGTGTCCACGCACTGCAACACCAGCTCGGGGCAGGCAGGGTGGGTGTCTCACCCACTCTGCCTCATTTACCACCCCACGGCCCAAGTCCTTAGCATCTTCAGTTAGCAAAAAAGTCACAAACCACAGTATCTTCATGATACTTTGGGGTGGGGGATCCTAAGACAGAAACGCGGTATTTGGTGGGTCTCTAAAAGCACGCCTCTGTGGTTTCTACTTTGAATGCACATGAGATCTGACTGAAGGGAGACCATGGCCATGTCACTCAGGCTTCCCTCCTGCCCTCGCAAAGGCCTGATCCACAGAGGGCAGGACGCATCTCCCAGGGACTGAGAACAAAGCCACGTCTCTGAGCAGCAGGAGTGGTGTGGACACTGCGATGCGACGGTGTACCGACATGACTGCAGTGAGGGGCGGGGCTGCAGGGATGGTGCAGGCGCAGCGGCACCTCTACGACAAGCACATGCACACCCATCTGGATTCCACAACACAAGCTAGTCTATTTCAAATAGCCAAGAATTTAACAGCTTGGAAAAAAAAATCTTCAACAGGACAGCTGTCCTCAACTCTAAAATAAGCAAGAAGAGAAAGATAATTACTGATCTGAATCAGTTAATTGAAGAAGAAACCTATTTGTTGCTTTAGAGTAACAGGCCTCACAGAAGGGCAATTCCCATCACATATGGTTTAAAAATAATTTGTACTACTCTGCAGGTTAGAGGTGAGTGCGGGAAAAGAGGTCCTCTTCGCTGGGGCCCACCCACTCGCCACCACCTTCGGAGCCCGAGTCCCCCGGGCTGGAGCTGGCGCTGGAACATGTCTTCCTGCGGAGGCCGTTTGGATTCGCCCCAGAACCTCTCTCTCCTGTGCATCTTGCTTCATAAACAGAAGACACCTGCGAGTCAAGAAACAATTTTCAACAGATCAAAATCAGATTTTGCCTCCAAAGGGCTGACGCACCCTTTGTTCACACACAGAGATGAAGAAGGAGGCCCTGGCGTCCTGCTGTGCCGCACAGCAGCACAGCAGCACAAGCTCCACTGCCTCAAGAGCACCTCTCCCTCAGCCCAGGAAGGACCCCGGCCCTCGCTCTGCACATCAGTCACTTGGACCAATGTGGCTCTGCAGGGTAGGATAAAAAGGTTGCTTAACTTCCACTAAGGCCTGCCTGCTGCAGGACAGCAAGGTCACACCCTTTGGGGCTCGCATTCCAGTGGAGAAGACCGACAAGCAGACCAACACACACAGTTTCAGACTGCAGATGCACAGCACAGGGGGAGGGCACGGGAGTGGCCGAAGGCACGGCAGAGCGCATGCTCATGGCTGCCTCAAGGCAGTGCTTCTGAACTGGGTCCCGTCTTCGTGAATGCTGTTTAGGCACATTCTATTGTATGAGACTGCCCCCACCAGATGACTAGCAATTCTGGTCTCCAGGACACTAGATGCAAGTGGCAGCCCCTTGGCAGTCACGGCAACTAGCAACACTCCCTTCCCTGTCATCGCCACTAGACCAGCCCCACCCCACTTCCAGATGGCAGCATTGCCCCTTCTTGAGAGCCCCTGAAGCAGGAGCACAGAAAGCCAAAGATCGAGGAGAGTGTCGGGACCTGAGGTCAGAGAGGGCAAAACAACAGGGCCTCACAGGCGCACAGAAAGTCTGGATTCTGTCCCAGTGCAGCGGGTAGAACATGTGTCCTACAGTCTGACTGCTGAGCTCACAGATCAGGTCCATACTGAGTCAGCGTCTCCACAACCTTAGATAACAGCATTTACTCTTTCTTCTTTTTTTTTTTTTTGTACTAGGACTTGAACCCAAGGCTCTTAGCCACTGAGCCACACCCCTAGCCTATTTTAGTTTTTATTTTGGAAAATAAAATTAAGGGCCTTGCTGAATTGCGGAGGCTGGCTTTGAACTTGCGATCCTCCTACCTCAGCTCCCCAGCTGCTGGGATGACAGGCGTGGCCATTGCACCTGCCAGTGTATATTCTTTAGATGCTGCAGTTTTCTACTGTGTAAGGTGGACATGCCAGCAGAGCCTAGTGCACAGGGTGCTGTGACACCACCCTGCACTGCTGGCTGGAGAGGTCGGGGGAAGTGGGAAGAGGGAGCTGGAGTGGCAGCTATTGTGGACTGGGAGTAGTGGTGTGGCCCAGTTGGGTAGAGGGGAGGTGGAGAGGCTGAAGGCACACTGCCTGGGGGTGAGAGCAGGGGCTGAGGAGTGGCTCTTGATTAGGTTTGGGGATCGAGGCTGGTGGGGCAGGTGACAGGAGCTGTTCACTGAGGCAAAATCCCTGGAGAGGCCTCATGAGGCAGCCTTGCCGCGCCCAGTCTGACAGGTCCACGGTACCAACACCAAAGGGCACCTGAGGAGAGCCCTCACTGGACTTGAGCTGACACGAAAGATCAACACTGGGAGGCAGAGGAGCTTCCCAAGGCCATTCACCTGTCTACCTAACGGCAAGGTTTGAGACTCACTGAACCAGGCCCAGCCAGGCCTTGTTGTCCCAAGGCGCTCACTGGCCCATCAGGGAGGCAGACATCAGAAGCCACACACAGCTGGGTGCTAGGCCAGTAGGATGCTGCACAGGGTGTGGCAAAGGCCCCCAAGAGGTTGGACAGGCAGAACTGGCCCCAGGATGATCTCCCCTGGGGCATGCCTCGAAAGATGAAAGGGGTACCACTGAGGGAGCAGCAGCGGGGTGACAGGGGCAGCTGTGCATTGAGAAATGCTCTGTGGCAGCCCTGGGAAGGAAAGGCTGGGAAAGCCAGGGCTCCTTAGGAAGCTTGGCCAGGGATCATCAAGGTGGGCCGTGAGGCAGACCACAGGCCCAAAGAAGGGCCAGAGAGGAGGAAGTCTGCACCTGGGGTGGGGTGGCATGTCCCAGGACTCCCAGGTTTCTGACTAGAGAGATAGGGGAGGTGGTAGTCATTCTATGTTAATAACGAGGAGGACAGTCCACTTACCCTATTAAAATCTAACAGACGCTCTTCATTACTGGGTATTTCTTTAACATCTGGATACTCTTCTATACCATTCTCTCCCTTGGCATTTGTATAACATTCTTAATCATTTTGAGTGGAGAAGGGAAGAGAGGGAAAGGGGAAATTCCATTAAGACACAGTTATGAAACACACATTCTTGTTCCGTTTTCACTGAAAAGCTAGGTCTCCCAACCCTCTGGAGATTTTAGGTAGTCATTAAAAGCATAGTTGGCCAGGTGTGTGCGAGAAGAAAGCCGCACCAACAGCAGCTTCTTGGACCCACCACTCTTGAGTGAGTTCTTAAAACCAGGCCAGCGTAAGCTGGTACTCCTACTGCTCCACCACAAGACGGTCACTCAACAGTACACCATCACACTTGCCATGTGACAGGCCCTGGGGACACAGGACAAAAGGACCAACGAGGTCTGTGCTCTCAAGAAGGAACGTGGAATGGAGGAGACAGACGATGCACCATGGATATGCTCATAAAACACAGGAACAGAGGGGCCCAGACAGAGGGAAGTGCAGTGAGGAGACACAACGGGGCAGTGTCCTGGCCTCCTTCTGACTCAACACCGAGCTAACACGCGTTCACACCATCTCTGGGGCGGGGAAGGAAGTCAGGCCCGAGTTCCAACTGCACAAGTGGCCCACTGGATGGAAAGGAATCGAACCCAGGGAGGGCAGCCGTTCTCTGCCTGGGCTGCATGCCCAGGTCACCCGGGGGCTCTGGTCTCTGGAGCTGCTCTCCAGCAGCACCTCATTCCCTGACTCCCCGAAGAAGGCCGCTATGGCAGAGGCACGGTGAAGGGCCGGGAGGACTCCAGCAGCCCTGGGTTTGACCTGTGAGCCCTCCACACCTGGTCCTCCATGAGTGTTAACATGAGGCGTCAAGCAGATGCTAAGACTCCCCCACCCACAGCCACGGGGACAAGGTGGGCCTCGAGGAGCACTGCACCACCTCTCCATCGGGGGTGGACCTGGGCCAAGGGGTCTGGCAGCCGCAGGCACTTGAAGTTGCTAAGTCAGGTCAGGAGAGCAGCCTAGGCCCCAGGCTGGTCAGACTGCAGCTGATTCCATGCTACGCCATCCACATGCAAGGCACGTCAGAGGGTGACACAGCGATCACACCCTCCACAGCTGCTGGCCAGGACAGGCTTTGGGATGGTTGCAGAGAAGGCCACCACTCTCTGATAAGGCTGGAGACCCTGTCTCACCCCTCCTGGCCAATTGCCACTCATCCCGCACCCCTCCCCGCTGCTGCTAGGGGATGTCTATGAGGGGCAGGAAGCTGTTCCCTAGAATAGAATATGCTCATGGGTGGAGCGATCCTCTGCCCCTTCATGCAGGGAATCGGGAAAGGGCAATGGTGAACTGCTGTCCTTGTTTTCCTACTGCTCCACCAGGTTTTGAGTGACATGAATGTGTCAGGCACTGCTCTAGGTACTGGGCACTCCACAGCTACCAGGAAGGCATTCCTTTTAGGTCCTTAGAAATACAGCAGTGGAGACCCAGGAAGACCTAGGCACTGCCAAGGCTGAGCAGCTGGACACAGTGGCACTGGGCTCTGGCCACTATCTGTGCTGCTTCCCTGCAGGGCTTGCTCTGCAAGGCTAAGGCCACACACATTGACATCAAATGGGCCTTCGAAGTACCAAGAAGCCGTTTCCCAGAGCCCTGGAGAGTCTCAAGGCTCTGTGAGTTCCCTGCCAGTGTACTCCTGAGCTGCCCCCTCTGGCAGCCACACTTCTGCTTGGCCTCTCTCCCTGTAGAGCCCCAGCTCTAAGTGGTTTGTACCATGCCCTCAAGTCGCTGCTCGGAAGGCCCTTGAATAGGAGAAGTGGGACAGTTTGCCTGTGTTCCCAGAGCCTGGAACAGTGTCCAGCAGAATAAAGCTACGCATCTGCAGAGTGGAAGCACCTACCATGGCAACACAGGTGAGGGCAGAGCGCCAAGGGCGTGTGTTCTTAGGCCTGATGGGTGCCAGGACAAGCAGCCCCACCTCCAGCCTGTCTCTGCACCCTACTGTAAAAGGGAACAATCCCCTTCCCAGCAACCCAGAGGGCTCCAGGCCAGCCACTGGCCCAGGGAAGCACGTGCCTGTTATGAACCACTTGCAACACTGGAACAGGAGTCCCTGGCTATTTCTGCTTGGTGGGTAAGGGGCTACCTGTTTTCTTGGCTAACCCTCTCCTGAGGCTACTTGTTCCCATCCTGTAAGTCAAAAGAGGGGTGCTTCATAATGTCACTGCAGGGCAAATGCATGGGATTTAGCTCTACCACTATTTGTCCTCTGAGTGTTCCTCTAGTGCCACCCCACCTCACACACAAAAGTACCATGGACATTCATCTGCTAGCAGCTACTGAAAGACAGTGCAGGTGACCAGGGACCTAGAGTTAGGAGCTAGAACTGGATTTCCACTAATGGAGGCAGAAAACTGAACTCAAGTAAGGGAAGCATGAGCTGAGTGTGTTGGAAAATTGCTATGAGGAAAGGTCTCCCACCACGACAGCAAGCACCCGTCTCTTGGGGCCCTTCCTTCTGTGCACAGCTCTGGCACTTCCCACCTGCTTCCCTGCACCTGCACCTGTCTTGTCCTGACCCAGCTGCAGGCTATATGTTCAGGAAGACAAGGTCTGTGTTGCCTCAACCCTGGAGTCCAGCTCAGTGCCAAGCACAGACTGCTGTGGTGGAGGACAAAACTTCTGGACCACAGGATATACAACCTGGCCTCCAGGCACGCTTAACAGTTGACTTGCAAGATCTGGGCAAATTGCCCACCTTGATACATAGCTTCCTCTTCTGGGAACTAGGCCTAAGACCCTGCCAGGCTGCCACAGAGCAGCTTGCCAACCCTGAGGCTGCCAAGCCACTAGCTAACACAGGAGAGGAGCAGCCACCACCTTGGACCGGGCTCCCAGACAATCAGAAGCCACATGAAGACTCGGCCCTCTGCTCTTCTCGGGACCCCTGGGGAGAAGGAAAGTACTTAAGAAGCTGCCACAGCTGCAGACCAGTGAGAAGCAGACAACCCCCAAGAGGAGTCTCGGTGCTAACCCTGCCTCTGTCCCATCGGCTCTGCCCAGGCATGGGAAGGAAGGCTGACTGTGGGCAAGTGTGACAGAAGCAAACCCCCGAACACATACGAGAGCACCGTGGCCCTGCTGGGCTCTGACGGGAGAGACTGGTAAGGAACCAGCATGCAGGAGCCAGGAGGCCAGGAGCCAGGCAGGCTGAGCAGCCTGACCTCACCCTCACAGATGCTTCTTTAGCTCTTGCTTCTCCCCAGACTCTAAGTAGAAATATCTTATAGCTCTGCACAGGTCCACCTGGGAGGCTCGGATGGTGCTCTCAGAACATGCCCCAAACTCGTGACCTTTCTCCCAAATCAGCAGCTGCCACCCCTTGGCCACCATCTCCCCGTCTTTATCTGGTGCTCACTCCTCACAGGAAGTTGCTTGACAAACACATCTCTACACGTTTTGATCATGTTCCCTTTATCCCTGCCACTGCCACCACCTCGGTTCACACCTTCGTCTCACCACTCCAACTTCTGCCACAGCCCAGGCACCCTGGCAAATGCCCTGCAGGTCCAGTTCCATCTCCACTGCTGCTGCAAGTGTCCTAAATACACACCCAACCTTGATGCTTTCCAAACTGAAGTCCCTCATCAGGCCCTCCCTACACCCTCAACTCCCCACAGGACCATCCCTGTCTATCACAGCCCAGCTGAACACAATGGCTCCCTGCTCCTTCTGCCTGCCCCAGTTCCCTCACCCTCTTCTTCCCAGGCACTGCCTCATTACCTCTTCCTCTCCAGGTCCATATAGCTTGTATGCATCTCATCAACGGTTGGACTTTTCATGAATTTCCTGTTCTTTCCCTCCATCAGCCCATGGCTGAGTTCCAGAGTGGAGTCTGGATCTTACTCATCACTGTATCCCCAGAGCGTGGCAAAGCACTGGCCACAGAAAACCCTCTAAGAGTCTCTTGGACTGATAGTCACCGCCAGAAAACTTACTGCTCTTAATGAACTCAAAGTCTGAATGCATAATGAATAACACAGGCCTCCTTACCTTCACACTCTGATGCAGGGAAGAGAGGAGAGTACAAGGCTTTTTCCCACCAGGTCTGCTTTTCTTGACTTCTATTCATTTCTTGTACATTAGTGTTCAATACAGGAAACTGTTCAGATTAAATGAAATATAGAAAACGTTGATAAATTTCAGGATAGAGGTAAAAATATAAGTTTTATTTATTAATTATGGACTAAAACCCAGGGCTTTTTTTGTGTGTGTGTATGTGGTATTGGAGATTCAACCCAAGGCCTTGTGCCTGCCAAGCAAGCACTCCCCCACTGAGCTACATCCCGCCCCCCAAATCCAGGATTTTTAAATTGGTGAGTTTTTTACTGTTCTGGATATGGTAAAGAAAAAAGGCCAACATGTTTGTAGAAAATAAAGAAAGTCTTCTACTGAGTGATAGAGCTAACCACTATCTGTAAGTTTTGAATTCATATTGTTTCATCTCTTGTACAAAACTGTTTTTTTTCCTACAAAAAAAAAGAGAAAGTCTTCTTTAAAAAGCACTCACACTGCAAGTGGAATGACCATCTTGCAAGCCCACAGAACTCTTAACAAGGCAAAATTACAACAGAACAGGAAATACACCTAAACTAAGGCAAATTTCTTGACTTCAGCAGTGCACAAAGATAACATGCACCCTGGGCCTGAGGTGTTCGAAAGAATGGGGGCCTCTTCTTCACATATCAGGCAGGAGGTAACAAAAGAAGAGATGGGATGCAAGGTAGGTTCTTATAGGCAGTTACTAGCCTAAATGTTTTTCTTTAGGAAAAAAACTGTTTGCTCAGGTGAGAACTCAAAAGGAAGCTGGGACAAAAAGAAGACAAATCACAAACTCATATTCAAAACCCATAGCGTTGCCTGAAAGCCATGAGGGCATGACTCCTGAGGAGCAGGGGAACTCACACCCTGAGCCCCGGTGGCCAAGGCAGAGTGGAAGCACCCAGCCTCACAGGAGGGACCCAAGTCAGAGTCCAGTCTCCAACTCTCAAAGCCCAGCAGGACCCTGCCACCAACCTGGGCAATGAGGCAGCGTGGCTGGTGGTCAACAGCGGCTCTCCTCAGTGACCCAGGAGAGTCCTTGAGAGTACTCATTAGGAGATGCCTAGTCAGCCTCGGTCAGCACCTGCACCCTGGTGGTGTCCTTCCACTTGCCTGCCCAGCTCTCCCAGATGAGGCCTGGCCTCTGCATCTTTGTATTGCCCAGGGCCCCTACACTGTGCTCTCTCGGAGCAGCCCTGGACTCTGCGTGAGTCTTTACTGTTTTAAGATGTGCCATTGTGGATGTGAGTTTAACATTATGTGTTCTGGACTGTTTTAGTAACTAATAAACAATTCTCCAATAGAATTCTGTTATGCTTATAATTGTAAATTATTTTATGGGTCTAAAATTGCCTGATTCAATAACATGTCTTTTACAACATAAGAAACACTAAACTTTTTGTTCTCATTTTATGCATCTTTTCAGATATATTCCTCAATTAGGAACTGAAGGAAACCGTACTGTCTTCCCAGGTCAGTCAACCTGCACTGTTTTCTCCGCAGCTTATCCTAATAAATAAAAACTAGTCCTGCTGTTAGATAATAGATGCCCAGGCCAAAGGAAAAAAGTTCTACCTCATGCAAATGAGGTGAGAAACACGCAGGTCAGCAGTGAATTTGAGGCACGTAAAGCACCTGGCACACCATTCCCAGCACCCTGAAGCCCTCGGCAAGGCCTCGCCTGTCCTGTGATATTACTTAAAGCCATTCAGGCAGCAAGGAAGGCTCCCCTGGCCAGAATCCTCTTATCATCCCAAGGCACTACACAGAGAACTGGATCTGGAGGTGGCAGGCTCCAGTGTGAGTTCCTATCAATTTTTCTAGTGTGAGTTCAGTAAGACTGCTTATCTTTTAATCCTTTATTGAGACAGGAAGCAAGGAAAGGATGAGAGAGGGAGAGAGTTCATTGTGGAGGATAGGGCATGGCAGGAAAGCAGGCCGGAGGGCCAGGACACCACGGGGCTTGGAGCCCAAGTCAAGCTGAGGCCAGCTGCCAATGGAATCGAACTGGAAGCTTTTTAAGGGCAGGCCCACGTCTTACTCATCATCTTTGTGTCTCCAAACACAAAGTAGATTCTCAGCATCTACAGAGCTGAACATACCAATTCCTGGGCCTAGACTCATATTACTGAGCACACCAATTCCTTTCTCTCCTGTTGGAAACCACTGGTAAGAGCCTATCAGTTTCTACTACAATTTTAGGAGTCTTTCTGTATCTTCAATTTGAGTGTCAATTCCTGTGGTAGGCATTTAACAGGGCCAAGTGACTCTTGACTGAAATCTCTGAAACCATAAGCCAAACAAATCTTTTTTTTTTTTTTTCTTCTTTTTGGTGGTACTGGGGATTGAATCCACAGGCACTCTGCTACAATTACAAGTGTATGCCACCATACCCAACCCTAACCAAATCTAAGTTGATTTTTTTCCATAAGCAATGAAAAGCAAACAAAACTGATACTGAGAAGTAGGGTCATTTCTGTAACTATACTTAGTGATGTGATTCAGAAGCCTTAAGAACTGGTTGGTGGAAGAAGTTTGGAAAAATTTGGAGGAAAGACTAGAATGCTATAAGCAGAGTTAATGGGTGATTCTGGTGGGAGATCAGAAGACCAGAATGCTGAAAGGACTATGGAGAGTAAAGGCTGTGCTAACAAGGCTGCAGACAGAAACGAGGACTCTATTGGGAACTGGACTTGTGGCCAATCTCAATATATTCTGGAAAAGAACTTTTCTACATTATGTCCATGCCCAGAGACTTTGTGCAAAGCTAAATTTAAAGGGGATGGACTAATTAATTTGGTAGAGGAAATTTCAAGGCAGCACAGCACTCAGGTAGTGGCATGGATACTCCTGGCTTTTAGCCAGGTTTACTGTGAAAATGGGGAGCAGAAAGCAGAGTGGAAAGATATGAAAAACTTGACCAGAAAAGGAGTGAAGTCCCAGCCAAGAAGAGTACAGTTGCTAGAGATCAGCACCATTAAAAACGAACCAGCAGGGCTGAGGATGCGGTCAGTGATATGTCTGCCTTGCATGCAGGAGTCCTGGATTGGCTCCCCAGCACTGTGGGACCGGGGTGACCAGGGCAATGGGAACAATGCCTTGAGGGCAACTTAGGAATCAGCAGGAACTTCAGACTCCAAGTTGCTATTTGAGACCAGCGGGCCACTGTTGAATCCCCACTCCACCCCACCCCACCCCTGATGGAGTCCCACTGTTCAGCATCAAGGCATTCAGAATGCAGCTCACTGGCTCAAGTTCAAACTGGCAACAGGCACTGGCATCATCTATGTGACACAGTTTTGTAGACATGCAGAATGTAAGAGTTACAGGATCATGGAGGTTGCCACTTAGATTTCAAAACAAAGCCTGGGAGGTCAGGCAACGTCTGGCAGGTCAGGAGTTCCTACAAGCACCTCTGATAGGGTGAAGTGTGAAGTTTTAAGTCAAACTGAAGCTCCATTAGAGACCCCAGTTAAGTTAGAGATGCCAGGAAGTTAGACCAGCTGCCAAAGAAAGCTGCAGGCGGTGGGCAGAACCAGCCCTAGAGAGCATCTATGTGGGCTGCAGCCAGCAAGGCTGTGGGGTGGGGCTGCCCAAGCGCCAAGGAGCTCACTTCACACCACCTTGTGCCCTGGATGCCAAACAAGGAGTTACATGATTTAATGTTTACCCTGCTGAGTTCCAGTCTTTCGTTGGTCCAATTCCTCCTTGCTATCTTCCTGTTCCTCCCTTTTGGAATGGGAGTTTACCCTGTGCCACTGTATCCTGAAAGTACATAACTTGTTTCCTAATTTTTAATAGGGGCTCACAGCTAAGAGTTTGCCTTGACATTTAAAGGAGACTCTGGACCTGGACTTTTGAACAATGATGGGGACAGTTAGACTGTAGGGGTTCTTGAAGATGGACTAAATGCATTTTGCATCATGGCAGAATGTTGTGGTTTGGATCTTAACAACCCCCAAAACCCACGAGTGTTAAAGGATTGGTCACCAGCCGGTGGCACTATTACAAGAAGCTAGGTCATTAGGGATGTGCCCTTGGAGGAAATACTGGTACCTCAGCCCTTTCTCTCCCTCTTTGCTTCCAAGCCACTAGTAGTTGAGCAGCTTTGCCCCCGCCACGATGCTCTCCCTTGCTTGCGGCCCAAAAATAATAGAACCAACTGACCATGGACTAAAACTCTGAAACTGTGAGCCAAAATAAGCCCTTCTTCCTTGAAGCTATTTTTCTCAGGTATTTTATCACAGCAACAGAAAGACGACTAACATGACCAACGTGCATCACTGAGACAGCCTTCCCCTCAGCTGCTGCCAACTTTTAGGTTGTGAGGCAGAGACCACACTTTGCTCATCTATCGTCTAAAGAGCTCACACTTTACTCAACTTCTGGTTTGGTTGTGACTAAAAGGAATGCAGAAAGGACAGAGGGAACAGGAAGCAAAGCAAAACAGAACAGGCCTGCCCCGAGGAGACACACACACCTGCCTGCCTCTGGGTGTCTTCTGGGCTCCCTCCCTCCAGGGCCTTCCTCCAATGGCAGCTCTGCAAGGAAGCCTGCCGCATCACTCAACTAACCTGGGAAGCGCCTCCCAGCAGTCCCAACCCACCACATGCCTCTTCCAACTCTTCTCCTTCTTTCAGATACCTTTTATATTCTAACACTGCACACAATATGTTTGCTGTTAGCTCCCCAAGATTGCAGGTAGCTCCCCAAATGCAGGGCTCTACTTATTTCTACTCAGGCACTTAACACATTTGATGGAAGAAACGGAACGGGGGTGGGTGCGTGTGAGAGCAAAAAGACATAAACTTAACCTCAAAAGCCTGACCATAAATGCTTCCAGCCGCAGACATCCTCCTCAGTTCTGTTCTTCAGTGCTGGAAATAGAACCCAGGAGTGCTATACCATTGAGCTCTTTTTTGTTTTTTGAGAAAAAGTCTTGCTGTGATGCTGAAGCTGGCCTTGAACTTGCCATCCTCCTGCCTCAGTCTCCCAAGTAGCTAGAACGATAGGCACCAGGCCTCAGGAATTTTTTAGAAGGTGGAAAATGGAAATCAGGTAAATGAATAGGCTTCACAGCTTTAAATTCTCACTGGACATACAAGTTCTGAGAGAGCAAGCTGCCAGGGTTTGGTTTACTCAGGGGCCCCTGTGCCTCTGTCATTCGGCTTGCAAAAGCAAAAGGAAGCCTTCCAAAGGCAGAGACCCGAGTCCTGCTTTGAGACTCTCTTTGCTCAGAGTGGCGGGAAGAGCTCTGGCTCTGTCCATTCTGTGGGATCTGGGCAGGCCTCCCACCCCTCTGGGCCTGCATGTCCTCAGAAGTCGGGTGGGAAGAATCTGTCTGGCCCCAGCACAGGTGAGCTGGGTGCCCTGCCACCCAGATCACCCCCACTCCCTCTCTGACCTCCAGAACTGGTGATCTTCACAGAGCAATGTTTGCCTGTGGCAAAAAGACCCCCCCCCCCCTGAACTGGACTGGAAAGTCCCCAAAAGAGAGGAGGAAGACTTCTGCTGCTTTTCTGGGCTTCAAAGTGCTTGGCACCAAGTGGGCAACCAAATGAATGCAAAAGACACTTGAGCCACAGATTTATGTACCAACAGATAGTGCAGCACAGTGCTTCCCCTGCTACTCCTGACTTTGCATCTATACCTGGACCTTGAGCCAAGCTCACCGTATGCCTATGGTACAGACCCCCTGCCTTGCTGTGCGCTCTGGGTCTGCCTCCTCCTTCTGACCCTGATACCCAGGTGTGCGTAAATAGCCTTCCTCACCTCTCAAAGCCTGGGAGATTTTCCAGAGGTTCCAACAGCCTCCTGGGCTCACCTTCACTGCTCCACCTACCACATTACCAGAAAATTTGCTGGCCCTAATGCCCTGAAAGATAAGGAACTGGCCAGTTAAATTGTGGTGCACCCATACAAGGGAATAGTATGGAGGCAATAAAAGAAGAAGGGTGACTATAGTGTGATGCCAGTTTAGTTAAAATGAGAAAAATAGGAGGAGATAGGTGAACAGGTACTTGCTTATCCATGCAGAAAATACCCCAGAGGAGCCCAGTGGAGCTCGCACTAGAGGTGGCTCCTGGCGAGGCTTGCACTGTGCCAACACCCACTGGTAACTTCTGCAGCTTAACCAGTCATAAACCAGAATAAACTGCTTACAAATAGGTTTCCTTTCCTTGTCTGAACTCCTCATGGGCAAGGACAGTATTGTTTAGGGCTCACTATACTGATAGGCAGGCATGAGACAGGTGTCTAATAAATGTCTATTGAGTTGAATTAAAGCATGTTCAAAAAACATCTTATGCTCCCAGACACCAATGCTATTAGAAACCCTGCGTTTTCATCCTCTTGCTCTGAAACAGATGGACCACTAGCAAGCTTTAAGTGGTGCTCCTGAGACTGACCAGGCACTGCGACAAGGCAGAAGGGCACAGGTCTCAGTCCTGCCTGGTCCTAAACCATCCTACAGTCAACTCTCTCCAGCTCTCGTCCCCAGCTCCAAGCACTGACAAGACCTCTCAGACACCCACACGTCCTCCAGAGCTAAAAGCTTTCAGGAAAACCCAGAATTCTGGTAGCAGGTAAACGTGTCAACATACTAGAAAGCGAAGGAGTGTGGTAGTGGTGTGATGCGGAATCGTGCTTCCTTCCTCCTTTTCTTTCTTCCCAATCTGGAACCAGGTGAAATACAAAGTACATAAAGGAATATTTAAGGAGGAAAATGGGGCAATAAACAACAAATAAGGCTAACAACATTACTGATTTTTCCTCAGTTCAGACTTCAGTGTTGAATGGGATGAAATTCATCCCTTGGGGATCTCTAGAACAGTGATTCGAGTCACCTGGGGCTTCCTGCAATCACAGGCAAGCAGCTGCACACCTAGGCACTGACTCAAAGAATAAGTAAGGCACAGTCCACAGCCACAGGAGCCGACAGTCAGGTGAGAGAGAAGGTGCATAACTCACTTGTGAGACACGGAAGTGCAATTAAAGAGCCACAACGTGCAGGAACATCAAGAAAATGGAGAAATTAATTCTGATGCAGGGTGGGGTGGGTAGGAGAGAAGAGGAATTGAGGGCAGTATCAGGGAAAGGGGTACGTGAAGAGGGCCTCATGGTGTGGGTGGGACTCGCATGCAGGACAGACGGTGGGGCGGGGGGCAGGAGGCACCAGCTGCTCCGCCTCAGATGGCACACTGCTAAAACTCCAACCCTGCCTGTCAAGTTGGCCGCTCCCAGAGAAGGGCCAGGCGCTACTGTGTCCAATCGCAGGCGGAGGAGGCACGCTGCTATGCTGTTTTGGGAAACAGGTTACTGCTTTAAGTGTTAGTTCTGGTGCAATCAACTTAACCTCAAGCCACTTTTAGGAATGTGGCTGAGGACTCAATGATTCCTATTAACAAAACTGTCATTGGGAACCTCCCTTGATAGACTCAACAGAGCTTGCAGCCAGGCCCCAGTTGGCAAGTGCGTCCATCACTGAGCTACATCCCCCCACCCCACGCTTCACTTTTATTTTGACACAGGTCTGAAAGTCGCTCAGGCTGGCCCAGACTTTACAGTCCTCCTGTCTCTGCCTCCCAGGTGCCTGGGATCACAGGCGTGGCCGCCGCCCAGCTGTATAGGCTTCTGCTCTACACAAAGCACACGTATGTTAACATAAAAGAATCCCAAATCCTGTGATTTAATGTAAAAGGTCTTTCCTTTGAAAGAATATCTGCTAATTCAAATTTATAATCAAATCCATTTTCCGTCCTTAAAGGTAAAATCATAAGAACTCTTAAAGACATTTGGGCTAGTCTCCTCAATAGTTGAACCCTATCTTCTGCTGTCTGATACAGCTATTCCTGGTAGTAGGATGAACAGTGGTGATTATACCTGATCCAATCCTGTGCCAAATGCTGACGTGCACAGACATACCTCCTCCAGCTGTCCTGAAGAAACTGGATCATCTTCATAAGCAGGGAACTGACAACCTGCTTTGCAACTGCAAAAATTATTAATTTCTTCCTCACATTGTGCCATTATTTTACAATTTGCTTCTGAGCTTTCTAAATCTATTTCCAGAGATTCATTCATGCTACATTCCAAACATTGATTTTGCTTCCCGACTGGCAAAATCCCAGTTGACTCCTCCTGGGAATCCAGTGATGTCTGAGCACTCTTTTCCATTCCAGACTTTTTTAATCTTGGAAGGAATTTTCCAGATTCAAGTTCTGATTTTCCATAGTAATGGCCTTCTTTCTCTGCATCTTCTTCCAGAGGTTTGAGATCTGCTTGTGGATCTTCAAATACATCAACCTGAGAAGGAATGGGAATATTTACTTCGTCTTTCTCAGATTCAAATTCCGACTCGCTTCCTCCTCCTGGGGACAGTTCAGATGCAGAAATTGGGCGAAAGTGAGTCCTAGGAGAGATCCGAATAGCTCTGTACTGCGTTCTATCAACTCCACATATCCTAGGGTGGAAAGCTTCACTGTCTGAATCAGAGCAGAGGATTGATTTCGGTTTAAAACTGGGGCTGAAAGATGCAATCCCTTCAGGTTCAAATGAACATTCCACATGAAGAACTTGGGAAAATGGATTGCTTAAGTCAAAGGAAGAGAATGAATATTCAAGTCCGGGATCTTCAACTTGAAAGTTACTGCAAGCTCCTAGTAAGTCTTCATGGAAGATAAAAGAAAATCCCTTATTTAATCCATTTTCCCCACTCTTCGGCTGATCATTTTGTTCAAATGACATGAAGGGTTTCCATAACTGCCTATGGCCAGGAGCAAAGCTGTTTCCTGGGGTCATGAAGACATCTGTTCCAGCTATTGTCACAACATCAGACGCTGCACACTGTAACAAGCTTCCTTTTGTGTGACCAGGTGGTACAACTGCCCACTCCCCATCGCTGCTGAAGGTTTTGAGTTCTCCATAAACCCCTCCAAGAATGAATGTGTTCTCTTTATCTTGGGCCACGTCCCAAGGTTTAGAGGGTGTAGTATAATCCCCACCGTCCACCTTTGATAGCTCACTGGAAACAAACGCTCTCTTCTCTAGGTTCTCCTTCTGTCCCTCCCAGAGATGATACTCAGATCGTTGCACAGCTCTACGGGGCTCCTGAAGGGTCTCCATCTTTGCTTCAGCATCCAGACAGCAGCAGTAGTTATTTACATCGGTGGAAAACAACTCGTCATCAATTCTTTCTATTTCTACTGTAGTTGCAGAATTTTCATCTGCCATCTTTGTCCAAATGTCTTTGATAACCCCTGAGCTGTAGCCATCTCCGTGTGGACTGCTTTTACTACATACTTGTGTAGTTTCAAAGTTTTTGTTTTCTGTTTTTTGTTCTAGCTGAATACCACAGACAGATTCTAGCTTAGATCTTTTTTTGAAAACTAATGTAGGAATTTCTCCTGAAGTTCTACTGTTCTGCTGGCAAGTTTCATCTTGCAAAAAATCTAGAAGTTCTTCATCTACATAATTTGACGAGACTCTAGGAACTACATAATTAATATCTTCTGCATTAAACTGTGTGGACTCTTCAAATTGAATGTTTAATGTCTCATTGTCTGAACGTGTTTCTTCTGAATGGGACCATGGACTACAAGTTCTTGTTGAAAGATTAGAACAGTGTTCATTTTCTTCAAAGGCACTATTTTTGGTCCATATTAGTAATCTAGACTGTGTTTTCCCAAGCATATTAGCACTAGAATCTGTATTTTCATTTCCCAAGTTGAGTGTTTCAAAAGAAAATGGTAAAACAGAATTACTGCATTGCACTTCAAACACTGAAAAACAAGAGTTTATACCAGATCCTTCATTAATATCTGAGAAGAGCTCTTGATTGCCAGCAAGCAAGTGTGAATTGAGCATTGTGCCATCCAAGATCGGAGAGAGTCTAATTGGAGAGTCTCCTCCAAAGCTCTCTCCGTCGGCATCGCCGGAGCTGGACGAACAGCACTCCCAAAACTGAGCCAGATTGCCAAGGTCTTGCAGAAACAAGCCCTCAGCACCCACAGAGCTGGTAGAATCTGTCCATATTGCACGTTCCCCTTGCAACTCCACACCATCTAACACTATGCAACATTCTGCCTCAAAATCTGTATTCTCTTTGCTTTTTTGTCGAATCATATTCAAAATCCGACTTTCTCCTTGCATGGTTTCTGAGGCACCAGGATCCAACATGGATTGATCAATATCCACTTCATAGAAGTGTGTTAATTCTGATAGATGAATGTCATCTAGGTATTTGTTGTCCTCTGGTAGAGAACATAATGAGGTCCCAGTGAGGTCAATATCCTCATTTATAACTGCAGGCATTTCTACAAAGTGACCATCAATGAAAGTACCTGCTGCGAGGTATGTTCTGTGAGTATTATTGTTGCTGATACACAGACCATGCACTGACTCAGACAAGTCTTCCACCACCTCTGACGTCAGAGCACTTGACTCTTGTCTGTTTCGGTATGTGGTCTCTAGTTTGCTTTTTCTGCTCAAAGGAACAAAATATTCAGCAATTGGTTCGGTGTACCACAACGGCTCCTCTTTATACTCGGTGTCGTTTCTGCTCTCTGCATACAGGTCCCTCCCTGCAGTGCTGGCTGGATCTCTCCTGCCTGTCTCCTTGGCTGCTCTCTTGCCGCGCTTGCACAGCTGCCTCACAGACCCGCTGCTGCTGCTGCTGCCACCTGCGTGGATGCTTCTCTCTGTCTTGTCACTGTGCTTCAGTGACAGCTTGCTTTGCCCATTCCGCCCTTTTCTATTTCGAATTTCTCGTGCCTTGTGTCTTACTTTGACATATTTCATGGATGCTTTTAATTCTCCCTGATTCCCACTTGAACTTGAGCCTGCTTCACTAGAGCCGGAAGACCAGGAGCGAGGGCGGACCTTCCCTTCAGGTTTGTGCCGCATTTGCTTTCTATACAAGGCAGGCCTTTCTTCAGCAGGGCCACTGCTCAGCTTGTCCTCCTTCTCGTGTCTGCCTCTGCCCTGGGCTTTCTCATGCACAGCAGTGGACACTTCAGAGCGTCTTTCCTTGATGACTTCGCTTTCGCTATTGCAGTCCTTGGGAGAGGATGTGTCTGTGCTTGCTGGGGGGGCTGTGGACGATGAAGAGGAGCTGGAGTAAGAGCAGGCTTTGGACTTGTTCCACACAGTCATGATTTCTTGCAGGCAAACTGGCTTCTCAGAAAGTGGTGGAAATGCTTCGTAGTACCTGAAAAGCAGTGAAGAGTTTGAAATGAGCACTTTGATGTGTTACATGCAGGAAAACAATGCTGCTAGTCAGCAAAATGGAATATTTCATTTTAACAGAGTCAGCACTCACATCATTCAAGAACCATTAGCCAACATGGTTCACAATAAAGTACACTGTACATTAACACTGCCCCATGCGTCAAGCACCTGTTTTGCTGAGCACTGTGATAAGCACTGTACTCTGAAAATAAGTAAAAGGAGAGTTTTTATCTCCAAAGCTCAAATTTTAACAAATACAACATAGTAAGAAAATGTAGTGTTTTTAGTAGGAAATGTTGGAATTTGAATCTCAGGTCAGTCACTTATGCTTATGAATTTAAACTCATTACTTAGTGTTCTGGTCTATTTTCTTAATTGTAAAATGGTGAGCCTATGACTTACCTCACCAAGCTGTTGTGAAAGTTATAAATCAATGTAGCTGGAAAGCTAAATGGTACCTGAGTCAACATTATAAGCTCTAAAGCCACATTCCTAAGGTCAAATCCTGGCTCTGCCACTCACTAGCTGTGTGACCCTAGGCCTGTTGCTTAATCTCTCTGTGGCTCACTTTCCTCACCTAGAAAGTAGAGGCAACAATCATTTCTGCCTTACAGAAAAGCACTGCTTATGGGACTGGCCTCGCTCCTGTCACTTTATCTCAGGATGGCAGCACAGTGCCCTGGCCACTGAGGGCACTGCTACTCTAGAGGCAGTGCTCAAGTCACACAGGAAGTGGCTATGAGGCCATGCTTTCAAGGGCCTGGACTTGACCCTCCTTCCCATCTAAGTGAGAGCTGCACAACAGAAACATAATGTTTCCCATGTGCTGGCAGTCTTATTACGAGTGTAAGGAAAAATGAGTGAAGTTAATTCCAATAATACATTTTATTTAACCAAGTAAACCCGTGATATTACCATTTCAACGTCAAATCAATATCAATCTAATGCCATATTAAACACTTCTTTACGTGTTTTCGAAAGCTAGTGAGAATTTTGTATTTAGAGTACATCTCAAGTTGAATGAGCCACTTTCAAGTGCTCAATAGCCTCCCATGGCCTGTGGGTCTGATTTTTGTTTTGGCACTGGTGATTAAACCCAGAGGTGCTTAACTGCCGAGCCATATCCCCAACCCTTTTTTATTTGGAGACAGGGTCTCTATAAGTTGCTTAGGGCCTTATAAAGTTGCCGAGGCTGGCCTTGAACTTGCATCCCTCCTGCCTCAGCCTCACAAGTTGCTGGGATTATAGGTGTGTACCACTGTGCCTGGCTTGGCTGTGGTTATTGTGTTGGACAGCATGGTCTATACAAACCAACTAAATGCATTTTTTCCTTGGGTTTTAGAGGTTCAGAAGATTAAAATAAAATGTATAACAAGAAATCTGCTTATAATGCATATTACAGTAACACTATTAATTTACAAAGAAAGAACTACAAGTACAGGAAACGGGTCTGGTTAAATCAGGGGCCTGCCCATGTTCCCTTTGCAAAAAGAAGTGAGAACCAGGGTTTTCTTGTTATGTGGACAAGAATAATCATAATTTCTTACAACTGTCTCAAAGGACTGTTGTGAATTTCAAAAGTAATAGTACATAAATGGACTCTCTCGGCAAACAGCCACTTTCCTTGTCTCATTCATCTCATAAACATTTATTGAACATGCGTGATATGCACAGAACCCTCTTGTTCACCTCTGAAGAGTTGTCAAGCACTTAATAACTACTCAGTAAATGTTTCCTAAATTATGAAATATGAAATTAAACAGAAGATGACAAACCAAAAATGGAAACCACAGAGTTATTAGTCTGATTTTAACAAAAGCACACTTTTACATACATTTCCACTTGATCCTTTGCTGTAGGGGATAATTCTGCCTCTGGAGAGGGAGACCCCTCTAACTTTTTGTGAATCTTCTCTTCTGTTATGAAACAAAAATTCAGAAAGATTTGTCTTACATCTAGTTAATAAATACCCATATTGTTAAAGTTTCTCATTTAATTTTAAACAGAAATGATACTTAAAAATGAGAACTCTAGACCAATTTATCTTTTAATAAAAATGTGTTCTTCAGTGTGCCAGAAGGAATTTTCTGGCTAAATCACTTTAACATCAGGCTGAGAGGTGAGTTGTTTGTCACCGATATGGTGTTCTAGAGGCGCTTAATTAAAAGGCTGATGTCCCTGTGTACTATTAATTAGACCAGATGGGAAGAACATCTGTTTAGATTCCAAAAATATTTTCTCACAAAATTTTGACTGATGGACTTTATATGGACTCATTTTTAAACAAATACTAATCTGTAAAGAAAATCCTTCATTATAATTAGCTCTGTTACTTGACAAGGTGGCGAGCCAGGGCTATGTCTCACCTCACACAGAAACAACGGTCTATCCTTGTAGCTTAGCCTTAGGTCAAAATCAATTGTACTGATCCTTCAGCAGGAGGCCAAGCTTTAGTGCACAGCAAAGTAACCACGAAAAGGGCAAGGAAACAAGAGCCTCAGCCTTCAGCGTGAGCCTCCTTCTTAGGTCTCACACAGTCATCAAGAAAAGCAGCAATGAGGTTCCCAGACCTAAATGACTTCATGGGCTTGTCAAGTCTGCCTATCTAAAAAATTAAAGTCAAAGCAGAAGTTTCTTCCAAACCTGACCATCTTTAGAGGACTTCACATGGATGGGCAGATGATAACAGTGGGGTAAGGATGGAGGAGGAGAAGGGAATGGTGCTGCTGGTCTCTGAGCGTCAATGTGAAGACACACATGGAGGAATCTTCCTGTCTAGGAAGGCACCAGTGAATTAAGTTCCTCTTCTCTTCTGGGAGCAGGGAACTCTACAAATTTGCTGCCAAGAGCAGTGGCAGAATCCACAACAGGGCCGATAACAGAGTAGAACGCTGGCTTGGTGGGGTATGTTAGGCACAAAGGTTTGCTTCTGCTTTCTTTCTTTCTTTTTTTTAAATTAATTCTACGGTTTTCCTCACTCTAGATCCTGGGGCTATCATACCTGAGTGTGGCCTCTGCTTGTGAACTGCACGCTCACCTTGCTCACTCTGCAGGTCTTTCAGTCTGCAGCAGAGTTCTTCCACCAAGGTCTCGATCCCAGAGCTCTGTGAGATGACAGAAAGACCAGGGGTTACCTCTGGGTTCAGCAAAGCAGGCATCTGTACACTTCTGTTTAACACAGAGGTTTGCAAATCTCAGACGTTCCAAAAGAAATATCATCAATACTTTAATGAAGAGCAGAGTTTAAAAATTACACAACTGCAGACCTAAACGATATTTTTTACTATTGAAAGACATTAAGTGGAACTTACTAACAAAATGTGGAAACATTAATGTATCTCCTAGAATGGCTTCTATCTTCCCAGAGGCATATCACTTTGCTCATTAAGACAGATCAAAGGCCTAACTGCCCAAAGCCAGTCACCAACAAAAAGAATCTAAGTGAATCAGATTAAGAACATATGAGAAGGGGATGGGGTTATGGCTCGGTGGCAGAGTGCTTGCCTAGCATGTGTGAGGCACTGGGTTCGATCCTCAGCACCCCCATAAAAATAATCAAACAAATAAATAAAGGTTGGGCTGGGGATGTGGCTCAAGCGGTAGCACGCTCGCCTGGCATGCCTGCTGCCTGGGTTCGATCCTCAGCACCACCTACAAACAAAGATGTTGTGTCCGCTGAAAACTAAAAAATAAATGTTAAAAAAAATTCTCTCTCTCTCTCTCTCACTCTTTCTTTAAAATAAACAAACAAACAAATAAATAAATAAATAAAGGTATTGTGTTCATCTACAACTAAGAATATTTTTAAAAAGAAGAAGAGGAACATATGTGACGTTGGGTGTGATGGCTCCTGCCTATAATTCCAGAAACTTGGGAGGATGAAGCAGGAGGATGGGAAGTTCAAGGCCAGCCTCAGCAACTTACTGAGACCCTGTCTCAAAATTTGAAAAAAGGAGACAGGGAAGCTGAGGATGTGGCTCAGTAGCAGAGCACCCCTGGGTTCAATTCCCAGTTCTAAAAAGAAAAGAATTTATGTGAGTACTACCTTGTACAAACTCAATGCAAAGAAAATTTTAAAACCTCATCTTGGTCCTCTAGGAGCTCACAGTCTAATACAAGAGGTGAAAAAAAAAACATTTTTTAAGTGAACTCTTCATGACGGCAACAACAAGAGCAGCCCAGACAAGTGGCTGCTGGGAGCCAGCGCGAGGGCCTTGTTTTCTCTGTAGGGTCCCACAGGTACAAGCCTCTGCTAAGAACAGGGGCAGGACTGCAGAACACCAGGAGGAGCCTGGGAGTGAGGGGGTGGAAGGAGGAGTCAGGTTTTGGAGAAAAATGAATGCTGGACACAGGCACAAGCACGTCTTTCACTAAGCAGACTTCCAAACTTTGTGAATTCTCGATTTCTCACAAGAAAAAAGGATCTTCTACAATGAATAAAAAAATGAATGTGGTTTTAGGAACTTTTGATTTATTCAGTGGGCAAAGTCCTATTTAAGTTGGCATCAAGTATCTTTCGGTGAGCACAATCAAACAGATGCACATGACCCAGCCCAGCTGTCACTGGGCCTAGGGAAGCTAAAAATAGAACTTTACCTCATTCACTTAACCCAAAATGACTCAGCACAAGTATTATAGATATCCTAAAGGAGAAACTGCAGTTATATAGTTTGAGCAGCAAGAAACAGATTCCACTGAAAAGGGATAACTGCAAACATTCAGTTACCCTCTATGCACATCACACCACAGTTTTAACGGGGAGACAGGAAAACAGGCCAGACAAGAGCTGCCGTCCGTTAAAAAAACACTCTTAAAACCCAGGCCAGATGTTAGTCATAAACACCGGTCAGCTTGACAATTCCATTAGAGAGGGTCTGCTTACCATGATGTTCAAGGTGTGACAAGGACGGCAGTTATATTCCCTCTTCCGGATCAAACAACTGACACCGGGGTCAGCTGACCTGCCGCACGACACTCTGAGCTGCAAGCCCATGTCACTGTGCTGTAAACCCTGCGGTCTCCAGTGCAGGACACTGAGCCTCCAGGGACTGCGTGCTAGGCTTCCTTCAATACTAAAATGGGCTGTCATGTAATAAGCTACCGCAGAATGACCACTACCACCCAGGGACTCCGTGGAGGATTGTTATGCTGTGTCTCGGACACCAACTACACATATACCATGTTGATCTGTATGTGAGAACAAAGGTATATACATACATGCACGCACAGACTGATATGTGTATATATACATATATTTGTTTTCATATAAATAAGTAAATATCTATGATGCTTTCCTATATAAATAGCAAGAGACAAACAACTTACTTCTTACCTTGTGTGCAGAAATAAGCTTTACCAACCAAGTTTTGCTTTTCTTTCTTAACTACCTGCAGTATCCTATTTAAATTTTTAAAAAATATATTTTTAGTTGTTGATAGTCCTTTATCTGTTTATTTATATGTGGTGCTGAGAATCAAACCCAGCGCCTCCTACATGCTAGGCAAGTGTGCCACAAACCCAGCCCCTGTTTATGTTTTTTTAATGAACAATTAGGCCACTACATTATCATGATCATGACTGAGAAGCTCAAAAGGACATCAGAAACGGGCATCATACTCTGTTGTGTCCTGGGAGGCAAAGTGTTAATTCAGAACTATTAAGGAGAAATTTCACTCACTTTCCCAATTATGCCATAAGCTAGAAGAATTTTAACATTCATATTTCATAGTAGGCCGAATCCATACAGCATTTAAGAACACTGCAGCCTACAGCATCCTAAGACACAAGGAGAGCACAGCGCCCAGTCTTTAGTAACAACTCTGAGGGTCACAGGCTGGGGAGAAACCCAGACCTCTGTTGATGAGCTCACCTTGCTTTCCCCACCGCGTTGATAACAGAGGGTGCCCACTACTGGTGGGTATCCAGCAACACAGAGGCACACCAGGACGCAAGTCAGCACTCCAGACCTGCAGAGCAGCCGGCTCTGCACAGGGACCAGCTGGCCTCCAGAGCTGTCCAGCAAGTGCCCATAGGAGTCAGTGGTGGCCAGACCTGCTCACCACACACGCTCACCCACTGCACGAGCGGTCACAACCCCACCGCCAAGCGGCCGTGCAGAAGATGACAGCCTGTCCTTCCAGAGTGCATGGGCTGCTCACCTCCTTCTCAGGCAGCAAGACCAAGGCAGCTGCATTTGGGCTCCGGGTTCTGCAAACCTCGGTCTGAATGCCTGCCCTGCCATGCTCGGAGGCGGCCAAGCAGTTGGGCGCGCATCAGAGCCCCTGTCACCCTGCTCACTTAAATGTGAGTTTACTTCTAGATTTTGTATGTCTTTCACTTTCCAGAACTCAGTTTTGGATTCATCCCTTCAAAAATGCCTTCAGGGCTGCTGTAGCTCAGTGGTAGAGCGCCTGCCTTGCATGTGTGAGGCACTGAGTTGGATTCTCAGCACCACATAAGAAAATAAATAAAGATATTGTGTCCAACTACAACTAAAAAAAAAAAAAAAAGCCTTCAGGTTTTCCTGCTTTGAGTTTGGGGTGAGAAGTGGGAATGCGCACTAACCAGACGCGGCTCGGCGCACCCCTCTGGGTCCCACCTGAGCAACTCGGCTGAGTCCTTTTCTCTGACCAACACTGGGTCCTTGACAGCACCCACTCTGCTCTGTGGTTGCAAGCGAGGTGAAGGACAGTGACATAATGGAGACCAAGCCTGGGCCAAAGCGCAGCTCATGTCTGGTACTTCCAGAGATTCTCGTTGCTCCTGACAGTTCCTACTGTTTCCTACCCTGCGACATATCAGTGCTTCTCCACCGGCTGCACACTTCCCGTCCCTTTAAATTTGTGACATAATCATCACTGCAATGGCCTGCTCTGCTCATTATCTGTCCTCTGCATACCCAGAGGCTTCTGCTGCTGCGGAAACCTTCCCACAGCCCACTCATCTGGACGGAAGAGTCCCTATGTGCTGGACAGTGCCCCCGCCCCTCCCCTGTGACCCCTACCCAGTACAATACTCTGGCACGTAACTGCTGGTTCCATTTGGACACTGAGAAGTAGAATCAAAGAGATCTAGGTGTGAAGCCAAGGTGAACCACACTGATCGTACAGAATCCACGGGCCTACTGCAGCCTCAGTCTCTACATTGGGAAATGGTCACTGGAATTTCTGGAACGGTCCCCATTTCTTTTTCCCTCCTGTTCACCATTTCTTTTCTTTTTTGTTCTACTTCAGGTGTACACTCCAAACCTTCAACTCAGTTTTTCACATCAATTGTGCTCACAATCTCTAAGAGATCATCTTGTCTCTTGACTGTTTCTTCTTGAAAGCAACCTCTGTGAGAGAGCAACCCCACCCTCCGTCGTCACCAGTACCCAGCAGCTGGGAACAGAGAGGGACAGGATCTGCAGGAGTCCACTGACTTCATCCAGTCCCTGATTTTCATTATGGAGTGCCCATGTTTTCCCTCAAGGGTGTCTGATTTCTCAAAGCCCAGAACCTGCCCCTTCGATCCCTCTACAAAGTAACTGTGAAGACAAAGCCTGCTATTCTGGTGCTCCAGTGAACCTGACTGCTGGCACTCACCCCTGGTGGGGTCCCCTCACACCGTGACAGGGCTTCATAATGACTATTAGCAAGCAGGACACACTCCTGCTTGGAATGCCGACTCCTAGGCTCCACCTGCCATGCAGAGTGGGGTGGCAGCTCATAGCCCTGCTGCTGCAATACCAGTTCCTCGAGGAGTGCCACCCCGCCCTGCCGCTACAGCTGCACGGACGGCAGCAGGACCAACACAAGAACTGCCCAACTGAGCGTGCACTAACCTATACAATCAAGAGCAAAGGCAATGGGTGCTTAAAGCCCCCAAGTCTTGAGTTCTCCGTCCTGCAGCCACACCAAGGCAAAGGCTTCCCAACCACAGCTTCCCCATGGCTGACTGTGACGGCGTTTCAGACTCCAGACTGATTTCTAAGGCAGAGCTTGGGGAGGAAGAGGAAGCCCAGTCACATGCTGAAGGGGAGGCCACTGGCGGCAGCGTACTGGGCAGCAAGGGTGCATTCCATACTTTAATGATTAGCTTTTTAAGTTTTATTAAAACATTTAGA